CCTTCCGTCGCCCTCAAGCCGTCGTTGGAGAGCGCGTAACCCACGAGCACGTCCACGCCCTCCTTGATTCGGTCGAAGCTCGCGCGGAACTTCGCCACGCGCTTGGCGGCGTGGTCAACGGAGCCAGCTCCCTTGTTCTGGCGCGCCGCGCGCGTCGCAGCCTCGTGCTCGGGGATGCCCTGCGCCGCCGCCACGCAGCGCGAGCACGCGTGCAGCTTGCATTGGCCTCGGTCACCCTTCCGCAGCTTGGGATACTGCGGGTTGTGCTCTGAAGCTTCGGTGTAGCGGCGCATTTCGCCACGGTTGAGCTCGTCCACGTACTCCACCATCATGACCTTCCAGTCATCCAGCGCTGCGCACTCGCGAAACCAACCCAGGCGCTGCGGCGGGAGCCAGTACGCACTCATGCAGTGCACGTAGCCCGCCGCGAGGTAGTCCACGTCCGTCATCATCTCCGCGTCCTCGAGCTCGGCGGCCGCGCCGCCGCTCGGCGGGGGGGCTTCGCCGCGGGCGGCCACGTTGCTGCGACGGCGGTGGCGTTTGCCGCCGCGCCCGCTGAGGGCGCCCGTGGTCGCCGCACTCGGGGCCTCGCTGGCGGTCTCATCGCCCATGGGGCGGCAACCGTCGGCGTCGCTGCGCGCGCCTCGCCCGCCGCGGCCGCTCACAGACTGCTCCCGCAGCTGGAGGTTGTGAAGCGCGAGGGTGATCGCGTCCAACCCGCGGCGCTGCTCCGCGGTGAAGTTGGAGTAGGTGGCCGCCGCCGCCGCCAGGGCCGCCTTCGTCACTGGCACCACCGCCGACGGGGGCATCGCCGGGGGCTCAGCGGGCGCCTTGGCCGTCGCCGCGGGGGCACCGTCAGAGGCACCGTCAGAGGCAGCGGCACTGGGGGCGGCCCCCATACCGCTGCCTCCGTCGGCACCCTCAGCAGGCGTCGTCGACTCCGTAGGCAGTGTCGGCGCCGTCCGAAAGGTCGCCGCCTCCGACATCACGTCGAACTCCTCGTCCGAGATGTCGCTGCTCTCCGACACGCTCACCTGCGTGCCAGGGCGCGGCGCAGACCCCGATGTGGGAGTGGGCGCGTCGGCCGCGGTCAAACCGCTGGCCTTCGCGCGCGCCTCGGACTTCGCCTTAGCCTTCGCCGCCAGCGCCTCGCGAAGGGGCGCCGCATCGTGACTGGGCGAGTCGGCATGCGTCACCGCAGGCCACGGCATCGGCGCGGGCTTCGAGAACTTGGGCGCCATCACTTGGTCGGAAGGATGGCGCTGGAGGTGCAGCTCGAGAGAACGCGCGAAGCGAAACTCCAAGAGCCAAACAGCTGCCGAGGGAGGAAGGGGGGAGAGAGGCTGCACACCGAACAAATATGGGGCGGCCGACTGCAAAGGCGGAGCACAAATGAAACAGGGGAACTAAAGGCTGAAACCAGCGGCTCCAGGTGAGCGGAGACCGATCCTTGAGCAGGCTGAAAACGGCCTGACCCCCGTTCGGGACCCTGGAAGGGCAGGAGAGGGGGAAGGGGGGCGAGGAAAACACGTCGCGGGCGGGCGACAAAGCGGACGGCGGGCCGCCGACGGTCCCAGGACCCGCGGGGCGTCCCCGATCTCGATCGCCTCTTGACGCCTCTTTTGCATGCGGCCTTGCGCTAATGTTGCTGGCGGAACGATGGCGCATCACGGACGGGTTGAGAGAACAGCTCAAGACTATGAGCCCAACGAAAGCGGCATGGCGGGAGCACAACGCGCACACAACTGGGTAACTGCACAACGCGGCATGCAAAGCTGACATGACAAAGCAAGGGCGCATCGTGCACACTATGAAGGAACTACACAGTACAGTACACACTGCTGACGTGACCTAGGCTTTACAACTGATCAGGGCAGCAGGCAGGCAAGGAGGGGGGGAGGGGCAGGGAGCACACACGTGTGGGAGGGAGCCACATCTAGTCAAGACTGGGCACTCGGGGCGACCCCGGCGTCCAGCCCGACTACGTCTTCCGTCGCCAGGGCGACCTGCTCAGCGATTTGGCCCTGCAGGGCGTTGGCCACAGCCGAGCGCAGGGACGAGCGCGCTGCGGGCCGCTCGGCCTCGGGCAATTCCCCTACGGCGCGGCGCAGCCACGTCTCCGCCTCTGCGCCCCCGCGGCCATTGACATCGAGAACAAAGGGCACCAGGCCAAAAAATTGGTATCTACGGTGCTTCACTTTTTCTCTGCGCTGCAAGGATGCCTGATGCGGCCGCCCCGTCTGGGCCACG